CCTTTGCTCTCAGTTCTTGTCCCTGGGCCTTTTGGGTTAGGTCCTCTCAGAACAGAGTTGCCTGTCTGGGTGCCCCGTGTGAAGAGGACCAATGTGAGTTTCAGCTTCTAAATCTGATAAATGCTTTTCCAGCATCTGCCACGTGCCAAGCACATTGCACCTACGTCCCAGGTATTCATGAATCTTCTCTTCCTAACAGCCCTTTTCTTTCTCCCATGTGCCTGAGGAAGGAAGTGAGGCACAGAAAGGTTACGTGACTTTCTCAAAGCCCCAGGACCGGCAGGTGGCGGATCCAGGGTTGTCTGATGGGAGAGGTGTCCCCCTGGGCTACTGGAGACTGTGGCAGTTGGGCCCCAGCCCTGAGACGTGCTTCTGCCCACTGGTGGTGTGGGGTGGTGCTCGCTCTGGCTTCCGGGCTGCCCATGGCCTGCCTTGCTCTGGCAGTGGCCTTGTCCCACCTGAGAGCATCAGTGTGTTCCTGGAGGGTGTCTCAGTGTGGATGCTTGCACAGGAGTGCTTTGGCCGCAGTGTGGCTCTGTTTTGCTCTTTTCTTTTTCACCTTTTGCTCTGTGAAATTTATGTTCTTAACCCTTAAGTGTCTGCTTGTCCTAAAGATAGTTTCTGGGCCATCTTCTACTGCTTTCCCAGACTGGCAGAGAGCTGGATCGGAAGTGGAACAGCCAGGACTTGAGCCAACACCCATATGGGATGCCGGCACTGCAGGTGGCGGCTCTACCTGCTGTGCCACAGTGTTGGGCCCTCATTCATTTTTTAAAATTAATTTACTTGAAAGGCAGAGTTGCACAGAGAGAGGGAGAGACAAACAGGGAGAGGGGCCGGTGCTGTGGCACAGCAGGTTAATGCCCTGGCCTGAAGTGCTGGCATCCCCTGTGGGCGTCGTTTCTAGTCCCGGCTGCTCCTCTTCCAATCCAGCTCTCTGCTATGGCCTGGGAAAGCAGTACAAGATGGCCCAAGCCCTTGGGCCCTTGCATCCACGTGGGAGGCCCGGAAGAAGCTCCTGGCTCCTGATCAGTGCAGCTCTGGCCGTGGCAGCCGTCTGGGGAGTGAACCAGTGGATGGAAGACTGCTCTCTTTCTCTACCTTTCTCTGTAACTCTGTCTTTCAAATAAAAAAAAAAAGAAAGAAAGAAAGAAAGAAAGAAAGAAACAGAGATCTTCATCTGCTGGTTCATTCCCCAAATGGCCACAAATGGCCAAGGCTGGGCCAGGCCAAAGCCAGGAGCCTCAAGCTTCATCTGGGTCTCCCATGTGGGTGCAGGGGCCCAATTATGTGGTCCATATACTACTGCTTGGGGGCTAGATTGGAGGTGGAGCAGCTGGGACTTGAACTGGCACCTATATGGGATGCTGGCATTGCAGGTGATGGCTTTACCTGCTGTGCTACAATACCGGGCCCACCTTTCATTTATTCTTCCAGTGAATATTTCTTGAGCACCTACTGCATGCCTGGCATTGCTTGGATATTTGGGAAGATGGCAGTGATCGCAGCCGACACAGCCTCCCTGTACTCAGGCATCTTTCATTCTGGTGTGAGCTGGGTGTGGGGGGAGCTAGATAATGATGAACATGATAAACTTCATAGTGTGGGCAAAGGTGCGTAGTGCTGTGGATACAGCAGAACAGAGTACAGGGATTAGCAATGGGAGCAGAGAGATAGGTTGCAATATTAAGTTGGTGGTCACCTGAGCTCGCTGGAGAGGTGGGATTTGAGCAGGCTTGAACCAGGATTGGAGGGAGGTAGGCCTTTGTGTCTCACTGTGCTCTGGGGCAGCCCTTGGTCTCAGCTGTGTCAGCTTTTATTTACTTACTTTTTGGATGACCTCTATACTCCCTGATCTCATTTGTTAGGTAAATGAGCCAGTTTCCCTCCATGAAGGTTGTCCCTCCTCCTTAGGTTTGCTAATGGAGGCTTCTCACCCATCGTGAGGACATCGTGGTCATTCATTCTTGTACCACGGGGTCTCCTGGGTGGTGTGTGCTTGCATCCTGGCTAAAATGCGAAGCCCACTCCCATGCCCTCTCCGTCTCCACTGCCTGGGCATGCTGTTTGCTTTGTAGACTGTGCCCATGGAGCAGTCTCAGGTCTTGATTCCCGAGCCGACTTACGTGAAGCGCCAGGTGTGACTGGGCGAGCCGTCCATCCTTAGGCACACAGTTACAGACATGGCGTGGCATGCCTGCAGGGCGCCTTCCACGCACACTGCTGTTTAATCAGTAATCCTCCAGGGTCCCTGAGTGCCAGCTCCAGCGAGAATTTCCACTGTGATGTGATCTCTGGGAGCTGCTTTGGGTGACTGGGATTCACTGATTCGCATTTGCCGTAAACCAGAGGGCAGAGGTCTGCCCGGTACGTGGGCTCTAGAGATGGTGTTCTCAGCAGTGTGGATCGTGCTGAGGCTCTGGGATCCGTGGACGTTGTGGAGAGGTGACTCCGTTGCTCACAGCCTCTGGGAGAAGCGGGGTGGTGGGAAATTGTAGCTCTTCCTGGTTCTCAAAGTGAGAGCATCCTGCTGCACTCTGTAGAAGCCACTGGTGTGTTTATGAGGGGGTCATTGGATATTTTATGGGGTTGGGCACCTGGATGAAGCAACTGGGACATGGCCACAAAGGACGGGTCATTTTAGAGGCCTTCCATTCAGGGGTGGCCATGCGGGTTTCTACATCTCTCATCTGAGGCTGGCCCTGGGAGGGAGCCTTTTTAAATTTTTTAATTTTTATTTTTTTTGCCTGAGAGGTGCTGCTGTAGAAAGTTGACATACTTCAAATGAAGGGTCTTCCTTCCTCAACTAAATCACCCTGTGGTAGCTTGAGGAGCTGTTGCAAATTAAAGGCCTGTATTTTGGAGATGCCCATAAATTAAGCACTCTGTTATTAGGATTTGGCTAAGTGTAGCCTTCTCTCATGTTGGGGGATTATATGGCCTGGATGGCCAGCTGATGGGCTGCTTTGCAGTCTCATTGTCCCCATCAAGGCTTCCCCATTAACCTAGATCCTGAGTTTTGCTCTGTGAGCTTCAAAGCTCCCACCCCTGCCCTGCCCCATCTGTCCTCTGCCACCAGCGAACGCGCCTTGCCCGCCTTGCCCTCTCGCTTTTGACCATCACTGGTTCCCCCTTGTCTGTGCCATACCTTTTTCATCAACTGGGAGCTACCATTGTTTATAAAACACAGCATTATTTTCTGTACCACTGGGGAGGAAAAAACACTGTCCATTGAACTGTGGCATGACAGTTACTTATCAGCTAACGTTTTTATTTTCTGCTTACTGAAAAAGCTCTTTCTGACTTAATTAGACATCGATTTCCCCATATATCACTCTTGTACATGGATAGGAAGGAAATATAAGTGAAATACATCGGGTCAGGTGCTGCTGCTACTTTTTCAGAGTCTAACCATTCTGAGTCACCTTTTGGCTCAGAGACGTTGATGGGTGCCCCCAGGTGCGTTGGTGATACAGCATTTCCTACGAAAAACAACAACACATCCACAGAAACACACAGAGCCATTGGCTCTGGACTCTTGAGACAGCTTGGCAATTCTGTGGAGCCAGCCAGCTTTAGACTGTCCTGGGAATTTTGCTCAACTCCCCAACTCCCCATCTATTCCTGTCTCACAGCGATTTGGTTTCTAGGGGTCAGGAGTGCTTTACTGTTTCTGGGGTCTTCTAAGCCATTGACACGCATCCTGCAGGTGTGGATGCCTGAGCGTGAGCTGGTCAGAAGGCATCAGGATCTTGCCAAACCTGCAGTCTTCAGATGTCGTTGACCGTGGGTGGGGTTGTGGGGTGCAGGTTACAGAGACAGGAAGGGCAGCTTAGATCTGGCCAGTGATGGTCTCTTTTGTTTTTCTCATATGTCAGATCATTTCACCTTTCTGAGAACTCCCCAGGCCTCCTGTCTCTGAGAAAGGAAGCCAGTAGCTGTTGCTTGAATGTGTATGTTAGCTTCTGTTCCATCTCTATTCCCAGAATCCGTGTACTCAAAAGTACTACTTCTGCGTGGTCTTTTTGCGCCGTGAGCAGCTGATTAGCATGAACCCACTGGGGTCATTTCTGAGCGTTTCCTGCACACGTTAACATGTTGTGTACTGGGGTCTGTGGACGAGCAGACACTGCTTAGGGAGCTTGGAATCACTGACCAAGCCAGCATGTTTTGGCAGACTTTTTTTTTTTTTTTTTTAAAGGTAAGTTGAACAAGATCCGGATAGCAGATGAAGTAAGGCATTACTATTTTATTAGCAGTGATGGTGGCATCAGGGTTATGTTTTTAAAAGGTTGGAAAAAAAAATGCGATATGGGGTATTTTGGAGATGTTCATAAATATATCTCCAAAACACCCCATATCTCATGAAGATACAAACTAAAGTACTTCCAGATACAATGTTATTATAGTTGGCAGAAATTACCAGTTGACTGATGGGTTCATGGCACTTCATTATGCTGTTTTATTTGTATCTACTTTTTTTTTTTTTTTGAAAGGCAGAGTGGACAGTGAGAGAGAGAGACAGAGAGAGAAAAATCTTCCTTTGCCATTGGTTCACCCTCCAATGGCCACTGTGGCTGGCGTGCTGCAACCAGCGCACCGCGCTGATCCAAAGCCAGGAGCCAGGTGCTTCTCCTGGTCTCCCATGGGGTGCAGGGCCCAAGCACTTGGGCCATCCTCCACTGCACTCCCTGGCCACAGCAGAGAGCTGTCCTGGAAGAGGGGCAACCGGGACAGAATCCGGTGCCCCGACCGGGACTAGAACCCGGTGTGCTGGCACTGCTAGGCAGAGGATTAGCCTATTGAGTTGTGGCGCCGGCCTGTATCTACTTCTGAAAGTTTCCTCTGAAAAACAAAGTTGATAGATGTGTACAGGCTAACGTAATGAACCCTCTAAAAACTCCTGCTTTTTTAAAAAGCAACTTAATGGCAGTACAGAGGCCCATCAGGCTCTTAGCTGTTGTGTAGTTTAGGAATATTCAATAATGAATCATTTTCTGTTTAAAGATTTATTTACTTATTTGAAAGATTTACAGAGAGAGAGAGAGAGATCTTCCATCTGCTGGTTCACTCTCCAAGTGGCTGCAACGGCCAGGACTGGGCTAGGCCAAAGCTAGGAGCTTCTTCTGGGTCTTCCACATGGGTGTCAGGGGCCCATATACTTGGGCCATCCTCTGCTGCTTTTCCCGGGCCATTAGCAGGGAGCCAGATGAGAAGTGGAGCAGCTGGGACTTGAACCAGCACCCATATGGGATGCCCTTACCTGCTATGCCACAACAGCGGCCGCAACAGCAGCCCAGTGATGCGTCTTCTCCATGGATGCTTCAGAGGTTGTGCAAGAGGCAGACTTACCACCCGTATACCCAGGGAACTTTCGGTTGCCCTTCCTGCTGTAAGAATCACCCAAGGTCTTCGAGAATTGCTCATTCGGCTGAGCTTTTTGGTGGTGGAGTATGAGTTGAGATCACTTACACCTCAGCGAGCTGCTCAGTATCCCAGAGACCCCATCGCCTACCAGAGTTCACTGTGCATGTGTTACGGCCTGGAACACACTCCTCTGTTGTCAGATGTGTCTTTAAGTTTGTCTTTTCTTGCCAATGTTTTCACTCATCCATGGCACTTATTAAAAGCTATGTTAGTGCACAGACATAATGAATGGTACACATTCGCACACATGGACACACACATGATGCAGGCACGCACAGTCACAAACATGATGAGCGCTACCCACAGACACACACACAGATACACATGATGCACACTCACATACGCACACAGGCACGAACATGATGAGCGATACCCACAGACACACACACACAGACATACAAAGATACACATGATGCACACTCACACATGCACACAGGCACAGACATGAGCGATACGCACAGGCACACACACAGACACACGTAATGCACACGCACACACATACACATGCACACGCACGAGGCTGGCTCGGGGGCTGCGCTGGGAGCAGGGCTCCTCTCCTGCTGTGGCTGGCCTGGTAGGAGAGAGTCAAGAAGGGGTCACCAAGGGGGCCTAGGGCTCAGCCACAAGAGTACCCGAGATGGCTGGGGCTGGGAGGGAGAGGGGAAGACTCACTGGAGGGCTCGGCAGAGTCGGGGGCTGCGCTGGGAGCAGGGCTCCTCTCCTGCTGTGGCTGGCCTGGTAGGACAGAGTCAAGAGTGGGGTCACCTCGGGGGCCTTGGGCTCAGCTCCTGGAGGCCCCAAGGTGTCAGAGGTTGTATGGGGAGTGGGCAAGACTCACGGGAGACTTTGGGGGAGTCGGGGGCTGCGCTGGGAGCAGGGCTTCTCACCTGCTGTGGCTGGCCTGGTAGGAGAGAGTCAAGAGTGGGGTCACCTCAGGGGTCTTGGGCTCAGCTCCTGGAGGCCCCAAAGTGGCAGGGGATGTGGGGAGTGGGCAGGACTCACTGGAGACTTGGGAGGAGTAGGGGGTGGCGCTGGGAGCAGGGCTCCACTCCTGCGGTGGCTGGCCTGGTAGGGGAGAGTCAAGAGTGGGGTTGCCTCAGGGCCTTGGGCTCAGCTCCTGGAGGCCCCGAGGCAGGGGTAGGGCAAGACTCACTGGGGGCCTCGAAGGAGTCGCTTTGTGCAGAGGAAATGTCGATGGCCATGCTGTCACGGAACACCAGAGCCAAGCCGTCGTCCTCTATGGGGGGGCGCTTGCTGCTCTGCGAGGACTCGGGCAGGGACGCGGATCCTGGGGCTGAGGGCCTGGCGTCCCCTCGGTCCCCGTGCCTGGCAGCAGGCCGAGGCCCACCAGGTACTCCCTGGCCTCTGGGTCCCGGGGAACTCCCAGGGGCTGAGCAGGGTGACCGCGTCCTCCTCGTGCTCCTGGGCAGCTTCTCGGCTGGGGCCGAACCACGAGTGGGTCCTGGCGTCCTCCGCACTGGGCCTCCCCGAGGCGTCGACGGAGAGCAGCCACGCCAGCAGCTCCTGCAGGGCCGGGCTGATGCCACGTGGCACCACGTAGACGCCGCACAGCACCCGGTCCTGCAGCTTGTCCATGTCCTTGCCGCGGAAGGGCAGCATGGCCTCCAGCATGGCAAACAGCACCACCCCCAGACTCCACACGTCAGCCTTAAAAGTGTCGTAGTCCTCCCCGAGGAAAACCTCTGGTGCGCAGTACTCGGGGGTCCCGCAGAAGCCCCTCACCAGCGTGCCCCGCTCCAGCCGCAGACTCAGGCCGAAGTCCGCCAGCTTGATGTTCTTGTGCTCATCCAGCAGCAGGTTGCCCAGCTTGAGGTCCCGGTGCGCCACGCGCTGGCCATGGCAGTAGCTCACGGCGGCCAGCGCCTGGCCGAACAGGGCCCTGGCCTCATCCTCGGCCAGGCCACCCTGCACCCACACGTAGCGCTGGAGCGAGCCCCTGGCCGCCAGCTCCGTGACCAGGAACAGGTGCGTCCTCGTGTGCCGCTCCTCCAGCAGCTGCACGATGTTGTTGTGCCGCAGGCTCCTCAGGATGTCTGCTTCCCCCTGCGCGGACAGCGGGCTGCTGGGAGAGGCGTCTAGCAGGAGGATCTTCACTGCCACGAACTCTTCCGACGCCAGGTGCCGGGCCAGCTTCACCAGGCTGAAGCCGCCCCAGCCAAGCACATATAGGAAGTCATACCCGTCCAGAGGAGGATGGACTTCCCAGGGGCCTTTCATGCTGCCGGTCACCTAACTATGCTCTCTCGACTCCCTAACTCGCTCGACACATGCTAGCTAATCACTGACCCTCACTGCACTGCCCACAACACAAAGGGACCACGGGGGCCTGACTGCCCAGCTGACTAAGACACAGCACCAGCTACTCTCACTACTCTAGAGGCGAAGCCGCAAGACTATCTCAATAAAGCAGAAAACAACAAAGAGGAAAAGCCACTAAATCCTCGAATGCTGATACTTCTGAGCGTGCTAGCTGACTAGAGTGGGGGAAGCAAAAATAAAACTGCAAAAAAAGGCCAAATGGGCAAAACAACAACGAGGAGGAAAACAACAAACTAAACAAAACGGGAAAAAGCAAAAACCAAACAGACCCAGAAACCAACAACCAAGAAAACGCACAAGTAACACCAACGAGTGCAAAGGCTGGTTAGAAGGGTCCTAGTAACACAGATCACAAAAGAGTGCTCTCTGGGTAAGGCGGACGAAAATCCAGGCCCCGCAGTGGCTATAGATACTTTTTGGGGGCTCACCTCACATAGTGGCGCCTTATGAAGTCAGAGCGAGAAACGGACCAATCCCAGCCCAGCCAGGGACTCTATAATAATACGACTTTCATAACAGTGAGGCATTATGGAGTCAGAGCAAGAAATTGACCAATGGGAGCTGTAGTTCATCCACAGTGGCTTTCTCCAGAATCTTCCAATTGAATAAAAATGATACCCAAAGAGTTTTTGGCCTAGGTTGGTGATCGGGATGGATACTTAACTTTGAGAAACTCCAACCTGTAGATTGCTTCGGTGGCCTTCAATTTCTAGTTTAAATATGATGATAAGTTATGTCTTTCGAAGACCTCCTAGTGTCTCCACTTAGTATATCCCCTCCTTCCCTCTTCACTCTCACACAAATAGAATACAACTTAGAAAAGAAAAATGAGACTCCCTGCTTCAGCTCCTCAGGACCTACACAGCCCAGAAATGATGAGACTTGGCCGCATCACAGCCTCGGATCTGTCTCCTTGGGACAGCCTCGTGCTGAGCCCTCAGGACCAGTGTTTCTCCCGAGGAAGCCACAACCTCCTCTCAGGTAGGAAATGAGCCCGGGAACCCCCACCCCACACAGCAGGTGGATCGGTGTCTCCTGCAGTTCTTGAGGAGCCCCCAGGGCCCAGCACAGCCGTGGGCCCAGGAACACGTGGTGGTACGTCTGCACTGACTGCCCCAGCCCTCTTGGGAGAGGAACCCTCCTTGGGGAGATGACCTCTCCTCCGGTTGCCCAGGGACATTGCACGATGCGATTTCTCCGTGATTTCCTGCAGTGCTGGTCACCTCTTCAAGGCTGGGAGGAAAGAACCAGTACCCCAGGAATTCTCACTACAGTTTTATTACTTAAGCCAAAAAAATTAAAGTATGATGACTCTTGTTACTGTTTTCCATTAAGTAAAGGTAATACCAATCTTAATAAATAAATAAATAAAAGCTATGTTAGAAGCTGTGGATGATTTGGGACGCTCCCTTTTTATTGCTCCAACAAGACATGACTGCTAAAGCCTCATGTTCTACACCGCATTTGTAAGCCAGAGATGTTGGCAAATATATGAGACTGCATATTTTCTGTAAGGTGTAATTCCTGGTAACTTCAAATTTATATCAGCCTTGTCGCTGGGATGCCTGAAATGCTTTAGAGCCATTGCTCATTTATCTTGCTTTTCAGCATGCGTAGAAGAATGTCAGGAATGAATTTTCTTTCTGCATTCACCCAGACAACTTCTGGTGGACCCCAAGGTTATTAGCTTGCTCCAGGTCACGCAGTAGCAGAGCTGGGGCTGGAATTTTGATGTCCCTCCACTACCTACAGGACGGATTTGGAGAAAGTCTGCTCTGGCTGGCCTGCTCTCAGAGCTGTAGCCCCTGGGACGTCGGAAGCTACAAATAGCAGGTTTCCCTCCTGTTGCCGTTGCTGCAGAGCTGCAGCTCCAGGCCTGGAAGGTACTGATTACCTGGGCTGGTAATCGTCCACGTAATCCTTACTGAAACTGCTGACGTGCACGAGCGAGGAGCCGGAGCTGGGAGCGGAGTTTGGTCTGGGTTCTTGGGTGGTCTGAGCTCCAGGCCCGAGGCCCAGCATCATGAGAGGGTCATAGCTGTGGCCATCACGGCCTCGTAAACGAGCTTATGTAGACAGGTGTGGGCTCACAGAGGGCATCCGTGTGCAGAGGGCTCTCCATTGGCACTTGGGTAACTTAGGAGACCACACAGAAATAATGTGGGTCCCCAAGCATTTGCCTAGGAAGCTGTGAGTTGGATGTTTTTGTTTTTTGAAAGAAAAGAAATACAGATTAAACCTCTCCACCCCCTTACCCCATCCGCATCCTTGGGGATAAATCTGCCTCGATATGTGTCATTATTCCAGTAGATTTTGTACCCAGGACATGGGTTTTATTTTAAAGAATTTCCTTCCTAATTGGCAGTGGCAGCGTGTGTGTTGTCATTTGCCTGTAATAAGTCTGTTTTTTTGCCCCAGCCTTGGGAAGTGCTGGGCATCATTACCAAATGTGCCATAGTTGTTCGGAAGCAAATGTCTCCCCAGCGCTGTAACTCGCTATTCTGGGCTGCTGTGGAGAGGAGGCAGCCTCAGTGTAGGGCCGCTGTGTGTGGGATCTGTGCTGTCTGCAGAAACGTGAGCTGCGAGGACCTAAGGATCAGGTCGGACGCCCAGCCCTGTGCCTGATGCAGGGCGATTTCCAGGCAGTGGTTCCAGGCCCCCTGGGAGGAACTGATGCCAGTGGGAAGGTTCTAGTGGCTGAGGGTTGCCAGGGCAACTCCAGAAACCTGCACGGGCATGGGGCTTTGGAAGCAGTGTTGCCTGTTTCTAGCCCTAGCCTTGTGCACGGAAGCTCCTGGTGATCCAGCTGGCTGTAGGGCAGCACAGGGGCCCAGCCTAAGTGTGGATTCTGACTTCTCTGGGCAGGTCTGTGACTGTAGACGAGTCACGTAACCCTTCCCTGCGTGTCTCAGTTTCTTCACTTACCTGTGTCTAGCGTGCGCGCAGCGCTCAGAGTGGAGCCTGTGCTGTGGGAGGTGCCAACATGGCCAGGGCGCATCTCACGCGTGGCGGGCCATCACGAGCCCGGAGCCAGTGCCCCTGACCAGAGCCGCCGCCTCTGCTGTGCTGTGCGTGAAGTCAGCACCTGCAGCATCCATACCCAGTACCTGGGACTTCCAGTCCCACACAGCCAGGTTGACTTGGAAGGAGTGTGAGGGTGAGAGGCCCCTGGAGGTCTTTGTTCCTTCTCAGATAATGCACTGAGCCCAGAGAGGCTGAGGGAGCTGCTCAGAGCCCCCCAGCCAGCTGGCGTGAGCACCAGCACACTCTTAGTCCAGGGCGGGGGCGAAGCTGAGGCAAGGAGCTACAGGTCAGAGCCCTTCCCCCTCCAGTTTTGGCTGCCAAAAGGTTATTTCCCAGTTTCGCCCCATAAGCTCTCGTAACTTGCTTATGAAAACTTATACCGAGATGTGGTTTTTAACTGCGCGGCTGTATAATTAATTTTTAAAACTCTAATTGGCAACTGGTTTTTTTTCAATATCTTGAGCTGTTATTATCTGAATATACCATGTTATTTGAAAACTTTTCCACAAGGTTTTAATTAGTAAATGTTCTTTAGTTTCATTAGTTCCATTCCTGGCATGCTTTTGAAACTGTAGGTGAGTGACAAGTGGTAGACAAATTAATAATTGTGGCAGTGCAGCAGAGCTTCTGTTAGGGCTGAGGACTCGTTCTGTCAATTAGCAGGAGAGTCCGTGTGGTCTCTCTGATGCCTCTGATTAAGATAGCTTACGGCTACATTGCAGGTTAGCAGGTGCACTTGGGGTGACTTCAGGGAGGAGCGTTCTCATGCAGACACCTGGATCTTTGCTGCTGCCTGCTGCTGTGAGGATGCTTGGTCCAGGAGTTAGGAGCCTGGCTGGCCCCGTAGACCCGGACTTGAATCCCGCTGTTGCTACTGAGTAGGTGTGAGGCATTGGCTGCTTTTTCCTGAGCTGCTGGAGATGATGCCAGTGAGTTCAGCGAGGGCTTGCCCCTTCCCCAGAGAGCCTTCTGGGCTGGTGCTGGCCAGGTGACTCTGATCTAGGACAAAAGCACAGGTCCATGGTGATGCCGGGTGTGAACTGTTGGGCCAGGGTGTCAGTCTGGCGCAGAGGCGCCCATGAGGGAGGATGCCCACTCCTTTGGTCCTTCTCCCTCCTGTGGAGCTTCTGGAGCTGCCTTGGATCTAGGAGGGTCCGCCTTGCCTTGTTTTGAAGTGGACCAGTGGCCATTGAGGAAAGCCAGAAGTGTCCTGTTTGGGTGGCATTGCTAAGGTGCTCTAATTGGCCAGAGTGCAGTGCAAGTTCCCAGGGGCACTGGAGAACTAAGCAGGCCTGCCTGATGGATTCGTGGACATGATCGAGTGAGCTGATGGGGTGGCAATTTCATGGGTGTCTGGTTTCAAGTCCTGCTTTGCCTTTCCAGGTGCACAGGCATTAGGGATTCAGGCTGCTCATCTCCCGAGGCCTCGGGAGCTGGCTCACCCCGAGGGTCCCCCAGGGTGGCATTCCCTTGCTCCCCAGTAGTCTCTCTCTCACCACACTCCCCTCCCCCCCAAAGTCCTGAGCTGGATGGCCCAGGCACCTTTGTAGTTTCTGTTTTGTTTATTCCAGGAAGGGGGTATAGTAGCTGTCAGAAAAGGGAGCCTCGAAACTTAGTCTTTACCACAGCTGATGGTCTGGAAGGTGTGCATTGATGTACTGCTTGGGTTGGTGGGATGATGGGGCAGGGGGCTGGGATGAGGGAGCAGGGGGTTCTGTTGCGGGAGCACTGGGCGGAGATTAGGGAGCGGGGGGCTGGGATGAGGGAGCAGGGGGCGGGATGAGGGAGTGGGGGGCGGGTATGAGGGAGCAGGGGCTGGGATGAGGGAGCAGGGGGCGGGGATGAGGGATCTGGGAGCTGGGATGAGGGAGTGGGGGGCTGGGATGAGGGAGCCGGGGGCAAGGGGCCAGGCTGGTAGACTAGGGAGCAGGACTGAGAGATGACCATTAAAGGTTGCCTGCAGCCCTCTGGTGCTTGCATTGAGTTCAGAGAGTTCAGGATTTAGAACCTGCGTTTTCAGGCTTTGGCCTTTCCTTCAGGTAGCCATCTCTTCTGCTCGATGGCGCCCGGAGAGTGTAGACAGAGGGGGGCGGCATTCTGCAGGTAGTCGCTTCAGGGACTCAGGGCGGGGGCACCACCCTTCATGTGGCGTATTTGGGTACTGCATTGTGTGGACAGGTTGCACATTCCTGTGGGCCTCTCTTGGCCCCTTCCCCTGGGAGGGGCCTGGAGGCGGCCCTGCTGTTCCCCGCCTCTGAGCTGCGTGTGAGCTGAAGGGGCTGGTGTTGGCCACAGAGGAGAGGGACTAGGCCTGTGGATAGGCCTGAGCTTTCTTGACTAGCACTCAGATAGTGGGGTGCATGCCTGTGAGGTGGGGGCTGTACCTCAGGAACGCTCCCCCTCACTATGTGCTGCTGTGGGCACCCAGGACTGTCCCAACCTGCCCGGTGCCTCTGAGTGTTTTTGTTGTTAAATGTGTATTTTCATTTACTTGAAAGGCAGAGCAAGAGAGAGAGGGAGAGAGGATTTTCCATCTACTGGTTCACTCCCCAAATGGCCACAACAGCCAGGACTGGGCCAGGCTGAAGCCGGGAGCCAGGAACACCATCCAGTTCTCCTGCATGGGTGGCAGGGGCTCAAGAATTTGAACCATCATCTTCTGCCTCCCAGGACTCATTAGCAGAAAGGCAGATTGAAAGCAGAAAAGCGGGTCTGGAATTGCCACTCTGATATGGGATGTGGGCATCCCAAGCAGTGCTTAACCTGCTGTGCCACAAACGTCTGCTCCTTTCTGTCCTCCTTTATTGGCTTACCTGTATCCCAGCAGTGGGAGCATTGGGAGGGCCGGCACAGCTAGCCCCCTGCCTGCCTGCCTTCCTCCCTCAGAAAGGGAGTCGGAGGGGAGCCAGGCAAATGCGGGCCTGGGGTGTATAGTCTGGGGGCGGTATGGGGAGTTC